CAATAATGTGTTGTCGCACTGATTGATTCATGGCTTTGGAGATCTCAAACTCTCCTTGAATGTGGTTTGGTCAATTTTGCCGTCTTTGGGAACCCGAAACACATTCTGAGACCCTGTCTATTGCGCTTACGCCACATGGCTCTGCAACCAGATGCCTCGGTCTATGTATGATGTCTATTGTATTCAAACGTTTTCGCAGATGCCTATCCTACTTCCGTCACGTCTTCCACGAGCTAAAGCTTTTACCCAATTTCCGAAAAAATGACACCAGTGTCTTCACGCAGTGTTACGTTTGATAGGTGGGCATGCGCATAACTGTTCATGGTAACCCTAATTGAAGCTGTCTGCACCAGGTGGAATTCCATTTGCATGCAAGACGTCGCCTTCGATTAGCGCCGCGATTACATTAGCTTAAGGAATCGTGGGTGGCATGATTATCGCCAGTAAACGAGCAATTGCTGGCTATTGTAGACGCCACATTTCCCCCCTATCAAGTCTCACACATCACCCGTTAATTTGTTGAGTGAAATGTCAGGGGGCTCAAGCCTCGCCGGCCCTTTTCTTGTAGACGAGCCTCCTTCGCACGCGCGGTGCGGTCTATAGCCCAGGGGACGCGCATCGAGTCGGCTCTGACCCTACGCTGGCAGGCGTCGGCGCTTGACTGCCTTCAGGAGGCCGCCGAGGCCTTACTTGTAGACCTCTTCTCGTACGCGGCGTTGGCGGCTGCCCACGCGAAACGCGTCACCATGAAGCCTGTGGATCTGCATCTTGTCTGCAGGTTCATCCATTTCCTTCAGTAATGCGCATGCCGCCACACCGTGTCTCCCAAACCCCCAGGCTCCCATGTGTTCTGTTGTGGGCAGTCCTACTTGTTCTTTGCACATATGTTATTGTTAGGCCTTTTATACACGTTGAAATCCTGAAGAATGCATTTGCTTAGTCCCAAATGTTCTTTCCTAACTTGGGTGGCGTCGCCAAACACCTAAATCCAAGGTATTAGGGTGTAAATTTATTCTTCCTAAATATATACGACTGTAAACAGCACCAAGCGAATGTGCGCCAGTTTAATTTTTAGTCGGAGGCATGAGTGTTGCGTGCGGCGTGAGATTGTTGTCTTCGTCAGAGTGCTGTGAATCGCGCTGATTCTGGTGTGTGCTCTACTCCCACGCTACCCTTCTATTTCATTCATGTGACAGTCCCACTCTGTACTAGCACAGGTTCACCCAGATCGTATTGAGTTCTCTCATAAACGATCGTGTCTCTGGTCTTCAGCTCATCTTCTCAGGAATCTGAGTGGCTTAAATGGGCAAATTCAAGTCGGCGGGCCCGGCGTTCTTTTATACCACGTGCCCGAGCCCGCAACAACTAGTGACCATGACGGGATGCCTAGAGCACGTGATTGGTTTTTCGGTGGACTGTGTTGTGCATATTGAATGCGTGCACTGTGTGTGGAGAATTATCTGTCTGTGTTTCGGATTGTCAACCAAAGGTTCCTGTGTTGAGGAGGAAGTCAACGGGCACTTTAATCTTTTGTTCGTTGAAGCGAATATGAGTGCGTTCGGTCATATTGTCGATGGACTGCCTGATCGACCCATCCTGCGCCATCGGACTGCTGCGCAGAGCGACGCTCAGTTTATCGACTTGTGAACTTGGACTCTGATTTGTTACAAGAGCGGAAACGGGGTGACAATGGGCGGGGACCGATATTCACTGGCTTCTCTCTGTTGGCGTTGCTTTCCTTTTGTTTTCGCAATTTCGTTAAAAGTAAAATTCAAAAAAGTTTCAGCAGTTACGTTTGTTAACGCCTATAGAAATGACTCCGAAATGAAGAACAAATAGTTGTCGAGGAAAGGTCTGTGGTTGTTCGTCGTCGCCGTGACCACTAAGATAAGAAAAGTGGTGAGGTTGACAAAGGTGGTTATTTGGTGTTGATTGGTTATCGGAAATCTCATGCCAAAGTTGGCTCGAGTACCATAGAAGAGAGTTAGTGATGAAGCCACTGATGCGGTCATTGAACCGCATCGGGGTCGTCTACCTAAGTAATCGAAAGGCCTGGTCAATGTAATGAGATGAAGACTACGGATAACACGTAGCTCAACTAGTACAGTAGTAGTATTTCGATTATACTGTAGCATGCCTGAGCACGACGAGAAGGCTAAAGGGGTTTGGTGATACAAGCAAAAGTCTGGGACTGCAGTGTATCGGGGATCTCTTATTGTGGTCAAGGGGTTTGGTTGTAAAGTCGCCCATGTTCTGCAGCTTTGTTTCTAGAGGTGATTGGATACCCGGACTTGGGGGCACTATTCGAAAACCCACTGCTCATGCAAGCGGGAATCATGCCACTCTCACGTAATGCAGCTGTAGAATACTCGAGCCCTAATAGGTAGAAGACTGGTACAAGAGAACAGGCTTTATTGACAAATCACAAGCCAGAACCACACGTTAGGCTCCTTCCATCCGAGTCCACCACGCTGGCCATGCCACTCCTTATATACTCCACCCCATTCGTGTCTTTCTCTGGTTGGCTGCCTGTCTTCCTCGCATGCCATGGGAACACAGAGGGACAGAGGATTGGCTGAGGCCAGGTGGTCAAATATGTCTGCGCCTTCAGACGTCGCCACACCACACTGCCTCGTCCTCAGGAGTGAGGCTGTCCTCAGCTTCTGGCTTGGTTCCTTGCACTCTTCATGATTGTTAAAATATCCAGCTCGACACTCCCGCACCCCACATCTTGCACAAAAGAACAGTCAAATGAAGACGATGACTACGAGGGGCTCTTCGACACTGTCAGCATGGACAGTCACCAAACAAATGTCAGGGCTGTCGAATTAAGCATGTTGAGCAGTGACCATGAGAATGACGAAGCATACGAATCCAGTAGCCAAAGCCGTCACTCCTACAATTCATGAAGAAGAGCACTCCAACACCACGACCACCACCTTCAGACAACGACAAGGGTAGGCCACAATGCAGTTCCAGTAAGGATTCAATGTGTCACGTGGCTCCCACATATCTCTCAGCACTGCCAACAAAGATGTTACCGAAAGGTTGGAAGCACGGTTCAAATTGCTCGACTAGCTCAGATTTTGAAGATCCTAGTATTAGCACAACCACCAGTTTGCATAATCGTTAGGCAAACGTGAGAGCTAGGTATTTACATCCCACAATTCCTCACATAGCAGTCTAAAACGACGACAAACAAAGATAAATTCCTCAAAGCAGTCGTAAAAAGAAAGCTTACTACTAAGAAAATGTCAAAACTTCTTTTGACTGCACAACCAAGTCAACACACAGGACCTCCACGTTTGCATGAAGAATGCACAAGCAGTCTCCCTATCGTCGACAGGCTCCTTGGCGCTATTATCAGAGAGAGTCTTGCCTCACGCATCCGCTATTTGACCCCCAACAACTTTGCAGTTATCGTTCTTTATGGTTGCTGGGAGGCTAAAGTACACGCCTTTGTGGACGCCGTACTTGCAAATCAAAGTAGAGACAAGGTGAGAGTATTTAGCATGCTGGCTGGCAATGTTAGCGCTACGAAATTGCGTTTCCAAAACGGCAAACCAACATGGAGCGGAATTAGACCAGAATGGAGGCTGTCATAGGCTGATCCCTCCCAACGTAATTGAAGGTTTGCTTTCTTGATGGTCCATGTTGGGGTCACCAATTTGTTGAAGCCGTAGCAACCCGAGAAAATGGAAGAAAAAAATGTCGACAGAGAACATGACCGTTTATTAGCATCACGACAGTCAAGTCCAGTAATTAATATTTCGCGTGCGTATCGATACGCGTGCGTCGTAACAGGCGACTGCTAACAGGCGATAATATAAGAGAGGGTGAGCCATCGGCACAGTCGGGCAAGCGTTCGCGCATCACTCACGCACGGTAGCTGCCTGTCCACTGCAGTGCATTCCCGAAAACAAATCGGTTGAATCGTGTTCGCTCACGCCTGTTAACTGTGCTCGAGCGTTGTGATAATAAATGCCGTTTTGAAGACAACATTTGTGGCCATAAACATGTCGTGATTGGCATGATGTGAATGCATTTACGCAAGGATTGCAACTGTGCCTACGTGAATGCATGCGTCACGGACAAATGGTGGAGCGACCAGGAATAGCAACTTTGCTGACATCAAGAGTGCAGTGACTGCTTTAGGCCTGAGCACAACAAGCAGATGTGCTCAGTTGCATGTGAAGTGGCAACACTGAGGACCAATTAGAAGGGCAATTGATGCAAGGTGGAGGAATAGGGTTGAGTTGCGTGTTCGCTTCTTCGAGTTTACGAGGTGTAACGCATCACATCTAGACGGTTGTCAACGGTGCATTTGTAGGGAAAGGGTGCAAGTCTTCGCGAGTAATTGTATGCCAATGGTGTTAGAAAATTGACGAACAACTCTACCCAAGACATATCTTGATTTACGTCGTCTAACGAACATTTCTGACCTCTAGTTTGTCTGTAGAACCTAGTCTTTTTCCTCCACTGTCCACAATCAAGTGTTCTGCATTTAGTTTACTTTTAATGGATTCCCTGTAATTTAGTACTGGTGTTCAAGCAAATAATGTGCCCAATAAATTTGAAAATGCGTGCGTCTATTAATTCTTGCAGTTTCAAACTAAGTCAGCTGAAATCTGTTCCTTAATGGGATTAATAAGAAAATACCTCCGTGATAGTCTGGCACTATATTTAGATATGTAGGCGAGCATCTTGAAATTTCTAAACTAAAGATGCATAGATTTTGAGGAAATTTAGGCTTCGTTTCCGGATATGTACAAAGCCAATGGTTTTCAATCACCCATGGTGAATCTAATTTTATGTGTTCTGAAGTAAAATAAAAGACATTAATCTATGCAATAATTATCAGTCAAGACACAAATAGGGATGCGGATGACGATAACCGCCAGAACCTAACAGGTTACCTTGAAAAGCATGTTCTGGTTTGTTCAACACACGGTGCCATTGGCATGAACACGCAAATGATGCTAACAGAGACATTAAGCAAAATGCCTATTGCGCTGTTTCACTAGGGCGAAATAACTGCACAAAATCAACTTGGACGTGGTCTAATAACTGGCTTAGTAAATACAGGTGTGAAGTCAATGATGCAGATTGCTGCTGCTCGAAAAATATTTGAGCCAAGTAAATAAAAACTGTGTTTCCTAAAAATAACGAAATAACGGTACCTCAGACATGCCTTGATATTCGACGTCTAACAAATTTTTCTCACCTCTAGTTTGTCTTTAGAACCTGATTATTCGTATCTGCCATCTACATTTAAATGTTCGGCAGCTTGTTGCCCACCGTTTACGTCTGATTGCTCAAAACTACTAGTCTTTATTACATGGTTCTTGAGCTGACACACACCTATGATGAGTTTGATCGAATAAGGCTATTATCACTGGTGCCACCATGGCATTTCGACCGGTACCAGGGAGGAGGTAAGCAAGAGTCTGCTCCTAGCACCAAGCTAAATGGACTTTTCCTAACCTCTCATAACATCTTGGAGACACTCAGAGGTAACCTTGAAAGCATGGTGAAGATACGGCCAAGTTGGCGTTTTCTAGAGACAAGTGAGCTCGATGCAGTGTGTGGATGGAATTCCATTGAATTTTGACAGCATGCAGTGTGACAGTTGCTTTCGTAATTCTCCTTAAATTGATTGGCATGCTACAGGCTGTATTAGACACCATTTCATGTGCGTAACTGATTGAACGCAAACAAAACACATTTGGCAGTTACTGGCCTTCCAAACACCTGGAAATACACAGTAACCTTAATATGTCATTTTGTAGACACACACAGAGAATTAGTGCCAACGGGTATGTTTCCAAAGGCGTGGTAGATCGTGGCGAAACTTGACAGCAGCATGTTTCATGGAACAGTAGCCTGAACGACTGCATTACGCTGGGTATAATCTACCGATTTGCGTGAATAGGTAAGAATGTACATGCAACACCGAATGGCATTATGACTATCAGCCAGCACAGATAACAGGATAATCCCTGCAGCACCTGGCAAACGCCATCGGCATTCTTTCAATGACAACGTCTAAGGAACCATTCACAGCTTCAAGGCTGCAGTTGTTGAAAAGTTTTTGAATATTTTAACTAGTCATTGGGCTCTTAATTTGTTGCATTTCATCCAGCGCATTCCTGACTATGTCCACAGTCGACTCGTGTAAGCTCTATCCTCTGCCCACCTACTCAACGCATCCTGCATTTCCTCCATCTCTCTGACATGGAGGAACACATTTAATGCTCCCACATCCGGTGACACCAATGACACTCCCTTGACCCAAACTCATTAAACTGCTCATGCCGCAAACCGAAGTATTGCAGCGCGTTTCCAATGCTCAAAAAAAGCTTCCGAACATTAATCCGCTTGCTTCCAGTTGCAACCCAAGGCGGTACCTGAGAGAGTTCACTATTCTTACAATTTTGGAAATTATGGGTTGTCTCATTACTTACTGAAGTTCATGGTTTAGTTTAACACCAAAATGGAGCCTTAAGTGAGGATAAAATGTATTTGCAAGTCCCGCCAAAATCTTTATACCAAGTTTTGTTCAAGTAATATGATTACCTTGTTTGATTTCCTAAATGGTAATTTGAAAAATCGTTACGGTCTAATAAAATGCAACCCACTATAAACAGCTGATTAGACTTACACCGGGCAGCACACAATCGTTAAGAGACAGGTAGTAAGGACGCTGGCTGTGCTCCACAAACAAGAAATCATCCCCTTTGCTTAAACCGCGCGCACGTCAAGTCTCTTGATGTAGGCTTGTGTCACCAGTGTACATAGATACCCTCTAGCACTTCATTTCAAAGTGATAATAACCAGAGAAACGCTTCTATTTCAAATATCTAACAAAACACTTAGCACCGTTATTACGGCTGTGTGAATTCGTAGTACTGCGATGAGTCCAAAACTAGCAGATGCCATCTACAAATGCACTTCAGTTGCGTCACTGACGGCCCAATCAAATGTTTAGGCAAAAGACCAGGAATTAGACTCGGTGGTTTTAACATAGCCTTACCAGCAACGGCCTCCTCGATCAGTTATATCATGACATATTTCCTACCAACTTAACACTCGCACACCCAACCCACCTAATCCGGTATCTGAAGGTAACTTAACGCTCCACAAAGGACATTGTGTCGGCTCCATCGTTTAAGTACCCCGAGAGACAGCCAAAGTTGTCGTACGGCAAACAACTACAACACTAGCAGTCACTGCTCCTAACCACTTTTATCGCCTCCGTAATCGTTTGTGCCTAATTATTTGGCATCACTCGGTTGAGGAGGTTAACACGACGGCACAACCAAACCGGTGGTTGCTGTCCTCGGTGAAATGCCACCGTCGATGACAGCGTCAGAGCTTGGCTTGCAGGTTAAAATGGTTCGTACTAAACGTCTTAATGCTCACTTCCAGAAATGCTGCTTCAAATCAGCCACCTAACGTTTTCCTACAATTCTGGAACCCTCCATTGGGTTGTCAGTGTTGGTCTTGCTGGTGTCGTTCTAATACGCGTAACGTCCTCAGTTTCATTAATCTGATTCACTAGTCCAATTAACAGCTCATCGTTCCCTGCCATCATTCTTGCTCTTCACTTACCAATTTTTTTCAATTGCGCTCGAAATAAATCAGTTGACTTCTCCCCCCGCAGAGGCAGATGATATTCATCCTAATCAGGAATGACGCTGAACACTTCATTGACAAAGAATGGGATAAAATGAAACAACCCACAACTTGTCACAGCTTCTGCAGAACGTGTCAGCTGATTTCAAGAGCCGATTTCGATACACCTCACCCTAGACTCGGAAATTTCCCTTAAACATCAGACATAGGCGGGAAACATGGATTGAAGAACTTCAACAACACCATGGCAGCGCAAACATTAACTCTGAGGATAATTGAAATCATAAAATTGAAATAAGAACTGCTTCGTCTCAATTCACACCATCGTTTATTTACGAAATTAAACAAGCTAGAAAACGCCAATATATCGCAAAAGACTGAGAGCATGAGAAAAGATAAACGAGATCATCCAGACGCACGAACCGAAAAAATTTCAAAACTTCTGAAGACTCCTTTTTTCCTAGAAATAACTTTTGCACTAGAAACAGCAAAACGTTAATGACATAGAAAAACCAACAACTCACAAAGAGAGTAAGCGTATATATGCCATTCAGCATCACTTGAAGACGCATCAAGGTTGCACCAGGCTCTGCAGTGACAACCGCCACACCAACACACTCCTCCCACTCCTCCTCCTCCCAACTTCATCACCAACACTCAAGTCGACCTCGGGACGACCGAAGACTTCGTGTCCAGACTCTTTGCAACTCGACTCTATGGAGCGTCTAAGTGCAAGGTACAATACACACGACCTGAGATTTGCCACACGTCACACCTTCCCACCTCAACCCAACCCACAACAACACCTCCACAAACCACACCAACTACCACCCCACACCTACGTGACACCACAGCGACACTCCAGGTGCATAATGAAACACACAACAAATACCAAGGTAACTCAAGCACGTCTTGGAGATTTGTGGGTTTCAGGTGGCGCGTCGTCGTCACACGGCCTCGCGCCAACATGACGAACAGGTAGCGAACGTACCACCGCCTCCAGCTTCTTAATGGCACCTCTCTTCTCCACTATCTACAATACCCAAGCACAATGACAACACATCAACTCTGACCACGCAAACCAATTCACCAATAACACCCAACTACAAGAAACTGCCGTGCTTACCTCAACAAACCACGTGTTCACCACCCGAAAAGACACCTCACACTACGTCTGCCACGAAATTTCCACAGGTTACTAACACAAACAATCTCATCACAACAAACACACCCGTCTACGCAGTCGCTCCAACTTCTCAAGGAACCCCTTGGCGGGCCTTTCGTTCTCGTGAACAATTCGTCGCAGGCATCTATTCTCCTTCATGATGCTTTTCAGCAATCTATAAACAAACAAAATAAACCAACAGGCATCACAGCGACACACTCTTCCTTCTCCTTCTGCCACCACTACACTCAAAGCCACTACCATCACTGCCACCACCACAGTAAGCGCGGTTACCCAAACAAGGGGCCTCCCTACACCCTCATTGAAGTAACACACTCGGTTCCAAGTCTTCATTTCATTGCAACTCTCTCCCCAATCCAACGCACAAATCTCACAATGCCCCTTTAAGTGGCACATTCTGGTCCCGACCACTAACACACTTGCACTACTACTACACGCCATCGGCAAACCCACCTTATTCTAAGCACACCACAAACAACCTCGTCTTCATTCCAACTCCACAACAACCTACTCAGCTCGTTTACGCAGTCGCGACTTCAGCTTGAAGACAATGGCTTTAAGCTCTGGATACTTCCGAGCCTTCTCCTTCATGTCCGAGGCAGATGAGCGCCTCGAGTTCCGGCCCTTCTCCCACTCCATCATTCGACGATTCAGACTCCGCAGCTTCACTTGGGTTTCAGCCGCCGTCACGCGCATAGCCTCAAGGTCACTCTTCTGACCCAATATCTTCACGTCTTTCGCCTCCATCTCATCCACCAACTCCACTTCTCGCGCAACAAGACGCTCGCACCTCTCTTTCGCTGTCAATTACAAATATCCACTCAAACACCTCTCCTTCGACTACTTCTCATACCTCACTCCAACCACACTAAAGCCATCAAACTTGCGCCCCCCACACCACCATATAAATCAACCTCACATAGCTACATCAAACACCATCACAGCAGATTCCAGTGACTACGTAACATAAACACCAGACACTCATCTAACACCACACCCGCAACATCCCCCCACCACCCTGTGTTGTGCTGCATGCACGCAACGCACTGAACACATCGCAAGCTATAAATAACTACGTCTCACATACCAGCAACATGCCTTGATTCAGCTACTTCCAACAGGGCCGCATACTTTGCCTCAACATCCCTCATTGTCTTCTTGTAAGTTTGAAATGGCATATAACAACAAAAACGGTCAAAACAACTGGCAACACTGCATTCCTCCTCCGTCCCAACACCACCGCTTCACCAACTCAACCTCCCACCGCCACACCACCGCCAAAGCTTCTTCCAACTGAACTCCAACACCACTCCGTCCAATTACCACAACTCATCTCCAAGCACTGTCTGCTGACTAATACCTTCCTTCACACAACAAGCCAACTACTCACCTGCAACTCATTCGCGCGGTTCTCAAGCTCACGTGCGACATTCTGTGCCTGCGTCAGTTTGCCAACAAGTTCATCGTAGTCACTCTTGCCAACCATGGTCGCTTGAAGAGTAGCTATTGACTCCTAGTGCTTTCTGCACGGCGATTCCAACTCCTTTGACAACTGCACAGACGTCTTCTGGAGTTCGTCATTTGCACTCGTCAACTGGCTACAGCTCGACTCGTACTCCGCCACTACTGCTTCGTGTTCTCGCAAGGTGATGGTCATCACTTCTTCCTAATCACTTTCTCCACTTCACCTGCTTCGGTCTGATCCGCCCATTCACTGTGCTCACCTCTCACTTTTGAAAACGACACGTGCGTTTCACGACGCCGTGAATAATCCCTCCTATCGTCTTCACTAACCACGCAGTCGACGTCGTCAGGTCCACTCAGAGCCATCAGCACTTCTGCCGCCGCCTTCACCAACCACTCGTACACTGCGTCTTGGATCCTTGCAACCTAACATCCAAAACAGAACCATTGCGGTTACCTGCGTAACCAAAACTCCAACACAACTCACGACCTCACAATGTCTCTAACCCCACAGCAGTCACCTCACCGATTTCCTCCATTGAGAAACCAACACGCACACACACACACACACTTAACAATGCCCACACGGAACACTCTAGCTTCATTCTCCACATCATTGAGTCCAGTAAGACAACCACACATTTCCACTGCCTCATCACCTCACATGACAACATCTTGCTCTCTCATGTCCTCTGGCCTCCACAGAGCCATTTCCACCTCCACAACTGTGATCTTCGTCATCTACTCAAGCACAGTTGTCAAATCGACCGCACAAGAAAAAGCACAAATAACACAAAGTGACGTTGAGGAAACCTGACCTACCGCCACAGACGCACGGTCGAAAACGCGCCGATTGTGGTCCTCCACACGCGACACATTCAAGCAACCACCGATGAAACTCTGACACCCCGTTCGCACAAAAGAAACCTCAAGTGAGTCACCAACGTCTCCAGATGGCGCCTCTGTATCTCCACCTGCGTTCAGCTGAAGATTGTCCATGGTTGTGTAGCTGCATGTTGACAACAACAACGACTCTGCATGCTGACTTATGACGAACTGACTGGCAGGCAACAAAGTCCGCCTCGGTCACCACGTCGCCGTTTACACAAAACCAAACCATTCAGTCATTGCAGTGACTCAAAACCCTCATCACAGCCCTCACAGTCTACGTCTCTACTGCCACCCCAACTATTTCACAAACCACCCCACCTAGCCTTTCACGTGCAAAACACCTCCTTAGGACAAAACTCACACGACAAAAATACCCAATCAGTGTTCAGCACCGCTACTCACGCTAGAACTCTTCTCCTGTGCCGCACTAATTGTGCAGTTCTCAAAAATCATGGCTTAGCGAACTTGGAAAATAGTCTCATTACACAAACACAATACGCAACACCTCTTGTCATACCAAACACATTCAAATCTTAACCAATTACCTCGTTCAGCCAATAATCTGATCATCACAATCATGGTTTTGACTTATTTTACTCACAATGATCCCTCTCTAGGTCACTTACCGCCTTTGCTTCTGTCGCAATCCCGTTCGGCAGGCCACTTTGTGCACCTCCCTCGTACACCACCGCTGACCTCGCAGCCGACACGACCACCAAACGAGCCATTGTGTGTTGGGTTCCGGCCGTCACAAACAAACGACCAGGTCTGCAGCGTGCCACATTCAACTTCACTTGAAACACTGACCATCTGACTTCGGTTGACAGTTTCTCTGAAGGAACGCAGCACAACAAAAGCAGAGTATTATGAGGGTCGTTTCGTTCAATAACAAAGTCCTGCGTAACGTGCGCTTTTGATAAAACCAAACAGCTACCATCACACAACTCCTCTGCATATCGACTACTCCAATCTCCAATTCAATGACAGTAAAAGGCAAACGATTCCTCGCAAAAGGCCACTTGTACCAACCTGTATGGTGCGAATACTGTCGAAATGCCTGAGAAGACTCTTCATGACTGAGCGAAGCTCTTTAAGTCTTTCCAATGACTGAACTGAGCCCTTTCGACTGACGGCAACCGAACACACGCACGTCTCCTTCGCCTTCTCATCACCACCTTCGACCACACCCAAAGCTCCGTTCGTGCTCTGTGATGGTGCTGAAGTCGCCACCGTGTTGGCCAGATTGCATGGCTGACTGACTAACGGCGCCTGCTGCTGAGAACAGAAAGCAGTCTTAGCAACAAGTCGCCTCACTAGCCACCTTAACCACTCACGAATGGCTCCACTACTACCACTTGAACGACGGAATACAGCATCAACGATGGTCTAAGATGATGTCACTTCACCATCACTTCTCATCACACTGACCACACACACGCGTTTGCCACCAAAAATAACACACCGCCTGCACTCCAACTACACACAATACCACATCAACAAATACCTCAGCGGTCCATGCATCTCAACAACCTCGCATACCAACTTACCTCGAACGCCGAAATCTCGCATTCCAGTCGCTCAAGCGTTGTATGAAGTTCGTGAACTGTCTTCTCAACAACTTCGCCTGTCTCGTTGCGGGTCATCGACTATTCTACCAATCCGCAATTCGCACCATTCAAACCGCCGCCACCAAATTTCCAACTTCCCAATTCCACACGCGAGACGTTTGCAACTCCCTCAGCTACTCAATTGGCAAAAAAGAAAATCCGGTTACATCAAGCAACCAGCAGTTCTACGAACGAGGACGACTCGAACTCAGGTCTCGCGAAGCCTAGCCAACACATCTCACAGCCCCATCCCCTCACCACACCACTCTTACCGCATGCGCACAGACACAGTGCACATCTCGCTCCACCACTCGACACTGACTATAACACACAATTTGCTGGTTTACACTGACAACAGGACCCAAACACGCATGACTTCACCGCGCTACCACCCCACACCCACACTCACTCCGCCAACTAAGCTGACGCCGCACAAACCCATGGCCTTCAACTCTTACTGCCTGACTATTTATAAACACCCCAATACAGCATTTGTAACATGATGAGCCCTAACTGACAGCAACTAACATCCACGCCACACGCCACCATCCAGGGCAACCACGCACTTATAACGCGCACTCCAGTCTTCTCTACCGCCAATCAACACCTTCTAGTATCGACTCACAAGCACTGCAACTCCACTCACTTACCATTCGAAGTACGGTTTAGTGACTGCGACAGATTTACGGGTGCTTTCACACAACTACTAGCGAGTGCGTTGTAAGCCGTCTTCAGTCGGATGCTTGTCTTCACTTGAGCCATTAGCTTACTTCGCGGATTTACCACCTCTTTTTGAAGTCTTGCCACTTCTCCCGCTTGTCTCAGCCTGGGTGTTGGCAGGATTCTAAAGGGAAAACAACACACAACACCACCACCACATCAACACACCACAAGGTGAGTGGAATCACGGCACTACCTCAACGCTTGTGTTGAAAACGCTAGAAGACTCGTCGTGCGATATTTGTGTGGCCTCTCCAAGAGGCAGTCTCGTCGATGCGCTGCAACAATTGTGGTGCTTTGGTCACGCAACCGTCACCCTCCCAGCGCGGCTTCACACTACCCCGAGGCTGTTCACGACTACCGTCCGTCGTCGAGATTAGCTCGCAAATCGTTCCCTCGCGGTCTTGAAGAATCTACAAGGCGAAAGACAACGACCTACTTTAAAGACTAGAAAAATAAGAATTCCGTGCCTCTACAATCTTCACACCTTGTCAAACGCCTGCAATTGGCAGACATGCTCCTTTCTAATTCTTTCAACTGATTAACTTCAGTCAGCAAAGAGTCACATCGTCTAGCCGCGCAACCTCGGTCACCAAGAAGGTTGGCGACGCGACGATGCAGGGCCTGCACTACTTGGTCGCGCTCATCTACGTCATTCGCATGGGAAACCTTCTCCTTCTCCAACTGTTCTGCCACCAAACTCAACTTCGCCTCCGATGCAGCAAGCGCTTGCTTCCAAACGGCCAGTTCTCGAGTTAAAGCAATGTTGCGGTTGGTAAGTTCTTCAGTGATGAGTCGGGCGGCATTGTGCCGTCGCACCAATCCAGTGTACTCTGATCCTTGTGGTGACTTGATCGGTTCTGACCACATTGAGGGGAAGTAGCCCAGGTGACTCGCACGGAAATCTCAATGGACTGTTCTCCTTCTCCGCACTTTGTAAAGCAACTTTTTCGCGAGAAAGCGAGTCCACCTCCGCCTCCAAACTCGCAACCTTCGACTCGGCATCAGACAGCTGCTTTCGTAGACACGACACTTCACTACAAGCATCAACAACGCAACCTTTAAGGACTAACTCAACTACTATTGCTACTACCACTACCAGCAGTAGTGCAAACGTAAGCACAAACTCACGCTTTCTGAGCGGCCTCGCGTCTAAACGACTCGTTCTCAGCCATTTCACATTTGCTCTCAGCCTGACGTCGGGACATCCTCAGAGAATGCAGCTCCTCGGCCAACGTGTCATACTTCTGCCTCCACTCTACCACAATTGCTTCAACTTTCATTTTGAGCTTACCTTTTTTGGCGGATTTAAACTTTACAATCCACTCATCACGATCTGCCCGAATTTGCTCGTTCTCACTTTTCAATGATGTGATCAGTTTCCAACACAACACAGTAATCCCACGAAAAAAACCTACGAGGCACAACTCAGAAGATTCGACTTTTCTCTCAATTGCTCTGACAACTACAAATTCTCGCTTTCGAGGTCTGTTATGCGCTACAAACTATCAGCACCAATCACCGCCTTACCAAGACCGGGTCTTCCGAGAGGCCCTTCTCGTAAATCTTTCTGTAGTTGTAACACAAGAGCCGCAAGTTAAAGTTGTCCCGTCGCAGTCTTGTGATCTCCTACGCAAACAATACTACATTGCCACATTACTTCCAAATCATCTGTAACTGTCCTTACGCCTCTCACTGGGGATACCACTGATTGAGCACGTGCTTCTTCATGATTTCCAGTCATAAATGTTACACTATAGAACAGCGTAAGTGAACACAAAGACCCTACTCTTTGTCGTCATTCAAAGTAGATGCAGACTCCATCTTACCACAACCAACTGCGACAACGACTAACGTCTCAACTAACCTCGACTTCACACGCTTCTATTTTATTCGTGAGTATCAGCCAATGAACTTCGAAGTTGGCCACAACGAATGCAGCTCACCGGTCACGAGAAGGTACTTTTACCAGTCTAGATGTATTTTAATCCACGACACAATCTCCCATTGCTGCCACCAATCTTTTCACTCCTTTCCAACCTTAAGGCCTTAGAGATTTATGAGAGCAAAGCACGCTAGCAGATGTCCAATAGAAAACCGCCATTGAAACGCCTTCGCCTTGACTGTAGTGATTCACATTGAGCGCCAAAAACAGAGTAGGGAGAAGTCGCTGCAGTAAAGATTACATCAACGTGATTAAATGGTAAAATTCAAGTGCACAAAAATTAAAATTTTTTGTAATCTTTTTTTATAATTTTAAAATTAAATTGTAAATGTTAAGTCAACACTTAGCTGACGAAAATTACGATCTTCGAAAAGCAAGATTTGATTTTATCTGAAAGCTGTGCATGTGCCTACAGTGAATGGTCCATGTTGAGTAACTGAGGTTGTATCGTGAAATCGAACATTTAATAATTTTGTTGTCAACTGGAATATACCACCGTAAAAAGCGCGAATACCTGATGTGAATATGCCAAAGTGTGCAATGAGAGTTGTGAACTCTAAGAGACAGGGTTCATCCACGTCCTTCCAACTCTCTAATAAGCCTAAGTTTGCATAAACAATTGCTAATTTTAAAGCACACCATTGACGCAGAAAGCTTTATCATCAGGCAAACTCTCGAGAAAGGTCACTTAGCAGTTGCCAGTGCAGAGGAAAGATCGCTTGTACCTGATTTAAGTGAAGACTAAGGACAGCAGGTATGAGATTCATCATTAGAAACAGTATGAGCTTTCCATCCATATGATCTTTTACGTCACCGGTGGTCCTCTCATTTGCACTATGATGAACCAAATGAGGCATTCAATTTCGTCTAGTGTCACAAACCCAAAAGCGGTGAATCATGTGCAGAAGAAACTGACAATAATTGCCTTGGATCAGTTTGTTTACATGGGGAGTAAACGTGTATCCGCACACTACGCTTATCGACCGCCATAAACTATCTGGACCAAGAATGACATGAAAAGACAACCACTCTGTAGCATGCTGGAATTGTTTCCAAATGTCTACAACAGAATAGTAGTAGAACTAGCATGTGATATTGGTTGCCAAAGGGTCATGTTTAGTCAGGTGTTTTTGAACAACTTGAAACCTGCTTGAGACACACTAGTAACTATCGATGCTTACACATAAATATAGATTTTGAACCTTGTATCTGCCGAAGAGCATCAGTCGACTATCTGCGAATTACATTATGCAGGTCACTTCTACATTCATTAATAATTTTTGAGCAATTAGTTTAGCATGGATGAACTTTGAAAGAAAATTGTCATCAACGTACAATTATGCAAAATATCTATTAACTGTGTATTTTTGTGCAGCCAAAAAATTAAAAAAGAAACATTGATTGTGTTCTCCTAACCTCGAATAGTTTCCCTTGGCGATATACTAATTGAAATTCAAGTTAGAAGAACAATTATCTACCAGTTATTAATTGACAAATATACCTTGCATTTAATATATTCGTACACTAACATGAAATAAATAGAGAGTAGAAAAGGTGCAGTCTAGGCCTAGCAATTTGAAATAAAACACGCGCTAATATTTAGACAATGTATTTTGGTGTTAGAAGTAATTTAGGCCGTTGAACTAATCTGGAAAGATTGCAAACAAGTTAAAATGGGAAAACACGAAAATATAAATGCTTCGGCACTGATATCAAAATTTCGCCGCGCAGCAGGACTTAGTTAAATTTTTGTACATTCAGTTGAGAAGTAATCTTGGAGAGGAGCTAAAAATGTCAGTTGAAATTAGTTGTGACAAAGAGGTGACAGGTGCTGTCTAAATATAGCATTTGTATATAATATACATGTCAACAAAAGAATTTTGGCTTTCCTTACTACTTCCAAAAACCGCTTGACGAATTTATTACACACCTTTATTTTATTCACTAAATGTTGCTTCTGTCAACTTAACCAAATGCAACAGAATATAAGCAAGTCTGTAAGCATTAATGTTTATTAGCCTAATGCATGACATAATAGATGCACGAGGGTTAAATACTCGGAAGTAAATCATTGGGTCCAACGACTGTTTGTCAGGACTACTTTCTATTACCTGAAATTGCACGCGCTAGTTTGAAGTTCAACCTTGAAGGCGTTGGAAGTTCCAGCAGAGGTTTGTTTGGAGATGATTGCTAATGAGGTTATTATTTTGTAGGTATTTGTTGTACATTCTGTTGCGGATGTACATTAATGTCGGTCGACTGTTGCTCACGAAACGCAAACTTGAATGAGCGGATAGCTGCCATACGAGCTTACAACGTTCGCTTCGAATGAAGACACGAAGTAGCTTGTTAGATTGACATTTTAGTTGCTTGAGCAATCGAACTAGATAAGATAAATACAGACAGAACCGGAAGTACAATTCGTCCTTCACAAGTCATGGTACGTCAGTGTATGAACAACATGACAGAATTTAGATGACAAGAACGGTGACGAGGACTGCACGCGGCAACCGCAACGTCTTGCCTAATTATAACCAAAATGCCTTAAAGGTGAGTGAATTTAGTGAGGCAAGCATTTGTGGTGCAATACATAATGCTAAGAGTTGGAATGAGGGGAGTCCTTTCATGCCTCAATTGGTGATAGCTACTTCGTACACACCCACACTCAATCAGGTATTGTGCACTCGAACAGCACTTGCACTAAGCGGAATGCGCAATAGTGGTCTAGATGGATAAGAGAGGGGAGAAGGTGTAGTAACCTAGAGAATGCTATCGTTTGATTATTGCAGCGGCAAGTGAAACGTGGCAACCGCAGCCACAACGGGATTTGCAGGTGCAACATCAGCTGCCCAAGCATTGCCAACTGCAGCTGCATCAACAGCAGAAACAGCAGCAGCAGCGTGGTGAGCCTTGAGGACGAAGATGGGTCTGTCGAAATGGTGCGTTTTTCTGTTTCAATAAGAAGCCTTCCCTTCCAACCTACCACGTGACTGCGTTAGCTTGATGAGGCATTTTAGGTACACTAGGTGACATTAAACCGTTTTGCTGGTTGTACACTTATAACGGCATCGCTAGTGTGTTTGCTACAAACACATGTGTCGCCTGTTTAACTGAATGAAAGTGACAAAGTCAGTAAACTTGGTAGACGCGGCAATTGGCAGGAGTCATGCAAGACTGCAATTTGATGCGTAACCGTATATTTCGTTTGTTACTGGAAGTAGTGTAGGCTCGAGTGCGGGTAAGCACAACTAGTTAGATCGTGGAGGTGGGTGTCGTGTTAGTGGTGGTGGTGGGGACGTTAGCGTGGTGGAAATTGTGCATAGGCTGAAATTGCAATGTTGCATTTTACACGAATTTAAAGTAACATCATAAAATTGAACATGCCTGACATGCATGACTTGATAGTTTTTGTGGTTGTTATAGTGAGAAATGGGGCGCAGTGTAAGGTGCTAAATGCAGAGATGGACAGGGGTGTGATGTGCCCAAGGTGTGAAACCATGTGTTCGTGTGAGCGCACCAATTAAGGTGGCAAATGGGGCCAGGTGAGAATTCACGCAGTGAAATTAACACCTGCGTGAGCAATTGTTGGTGATGTAAAGACGCAGTAGTGAAGGCAGGTAGGTATATACATGAGTCGTGGCAGCATCAGTCAAGTGTCGTTCACATGAATGCATAACTTTCCTGTACTAGGTATTCTTTTAAATGCAGTAGGCAATTTGGCCATTACCCTACCACCCCCACCACAACCACTTACGACCTTCAAGACCAGCACCACCAGCTTCTCATGGGGGGGGCACAAAGATTTTCTTCAGTTGAATGCCAGTCTCGTAAGGCTCCTCCCCCCTTACCATTTTCTTTCACTCGCTTCTACCACAGGGCAATGCCTGATAAAAAAACAAATTTATATTATTAATTTCCACAGGCATCAGTGGAAGAAAGGGGCTAGCACAACTCAAGAATTTTCTACAGCTCATCTTTGCACAAGTACAGTTGCCGTCGACGCCGCCGCCGTTACAAACTCATTTTAAGCTAGTTCTGCAATGCCTCGACTTGACGTGGAACGACAGTTAGTTCGACATACTTTACTTTATTTCCCACTGAGAAGATTGGCAGTTGGTTAATAAAGCACCTAAATTTAATTGAATGATTGTTTTAAACTCGTGCATTCGTCATCGTCGTCACCACCATGGATTGATGGTAGAAAGTGGGGTTATAGAGGGGTTTGTCGGGGCAGGAGGGGAGGGAAGAGGGACTTGGAATAGCGCCTGAGTAGGTGTTAACTTGTCTAGGTGTGAGTAGTACTGGGTATCACTCAGATTCTACGGCTTCAGAGGAATT